AATTAATCTAATTCAATAAAAAAACTTCCATCGAAATATAGGAACTTTTTTATTTGATAATTTTCAATCCTTTTTTTTCAAATCGAATAGAAAAAAATCTGTTTATTTTATGAAATTCGTTTGTTTACTTTTATATAGATAGTTCCTTAACAATATTTAATGGAAAAATGTTGTATAAGAAAGAGTATCAATATATTCTTGTTTTACTTAAACTTTTTTAACATAGTACAGCTGACAACGGGTGGAGGACTATGCGCAGTGCAGTATCACATGTCAATGTTCATCGCGCATGTACTTACCGGTGAAAACGACATGGCAGGTGTTTCGATTGCTTCTTGTTGTTGACTATTTTTAATAGATAAGAGATTAACTACGATTACTCTGAAGGACAATGATAATGCGTACGTTAGATAATAATTTATAAAATTATTTATTTTAATTATTTTAATTAATTGCCAAAGTTATTGTGAACATGTCGAATACACGCGAAGCAGAGGTAAGCGTTTATAACTGTTCCGTATCCTATATTTTAGTATTTATATTTTTTACTTTTAAACATATAATTATAGTTATTAATTAATAATTAAAACACAAACATAATTTATATAACATCTTTTTATGCAAATTAATATTAAATATTAATCTGTATTACTTATGTTGAAAGAATTTGAAGTTAATATTGCGGTATTTCACTTATTACATTATCACAATTTCATTGAAGGTACAAAATCTCAAGGAACGTGGAAATGCATGTGTAAAAGAACAAAAATATGAAGAAGCTATGTTTCATTATACTCATGCCATTAAATTAGACCCACAGAATTATTCCTTGTATAGTAATCGATCATTTGCATTTTTAAAATTACAACAATATCATTTTGCAATGGAAGATGCATTAATGACAATTCAATTAAAACCTGATTGGACCAAGGTATATTTATAGTATTTTTATGCTTGTTAATAAGAAATAAATATATATATATATATTTACATTTATATTACATTTAAAAATATATTTATATATATTGAATAAAATCATAGTATATTTAATCTTTTTATAGGGTTATTTTAGAAAAGCTGAAGTAGAATCACAAACATTTCGCTTCAGTGAAGCACTTCAATCTTACAATAAAGCTTTATCTCTTCAACCAAATGAACCAACAATTTTAGAGGCAATGAATAGAGTATCCCGATTATTAATTAAAGACAAACGAGGTATTGGTATCAATACCAAATAAAATAATTATACTAAAAATATTTTGTATATTTTAATATAATAAATTATTTTTTAGCTGATCAACAAATACCTTGGCTTGGAGCTGGTGTTGGTATCATATTTGGTGTAATAGTTGTAATTGCAGATTATGTTTTTACAAATAAACCTACATTAACGGTATTTAAATTTATTTAAGAGTTTTAGAAATCAGTTTTAAAATAAATGTTTACAATGATTATTTTATTTTTTTTTTTCATTAGATGCAACATCCTCTTTTGATGGCCTTATTGACAATGTCTATAGCAATGTTGGGTTTTGGCATTGCAAAGGGGTTTCGTTATTTCATAAAATGTCAAAGAAAATCACTTTTGGAACCTCCAGTGGATCTTTTTGGTGATAACAAAGAAGAATTTGATGATATTGAAACCGAAATGAATAATGAGAAAGAAAAACATCCCAAATATAGTAAAGCACAAGCAAGACAAAGATTCAAGAAAGGAAAATCGTAATCGTGTGCTTTGATATTAATGATATACATGCATTTTTTGTAAATTTTAAAATCATACACTTTTTAGCATCTCAGGAAAGCACTGATTACTTATAATCAATGTTAACATAACAAACAACAAAAAATTATATTGGTACTATTTATATTTTATACTTCTGTTATTGTTAAATAATGTTAAAGTACTGAAAACATGTGCCAGAATTTCTGTATTTCTTTATATTTTGTGTTTAAAAATTTTTATATCGAACATTTCCTACTTAATAATTGAATCCATTTACTAAAAATATAATATTTTAATCATTTTGAGATATATAGAAATAAGCAATGATAATATAATTATTGGTAAGTTATGTAGTACAAATATTTCTAAATTCCAAATTATAAGAAAAATTTTATGTTATATATAAATTATATAAATATTTAAAAACATGAAATGTTTCAATTTTTACAAAAAATAGCAAAAAATTATGTCATTTACACTTTGATATAGTCATATTGTAGAATCAAATAATTTAAATATTACCTTTATATGAGTCATACAACGAATATCTTATCTTTGACATTAAAAGAGCGTGATTACACTCAATTTTTTGCACTATTTATCACTAATAAACATGAATTTTAAGTAAATATAATCAATTGCAGAAGAACTGTTTAATTTCTTATCCAAAATAACTAATGACAAAATTTTTTAATATGTATATATATAATAAATTATTTTATTTAAATTTTAAACTTTATATCATATATTATACTTGTATTGCAAATTTAATATATTCTTTCGAATTTTGAATTTCCATATGAAATTGTATATTAATATTATGTTGTATTTATATATCTTTTTTATTTGTATCAATTTAGAGATTTAATATTTTCATTAATATTATAATTTTTTATTATAAATGTGTATAAATAGCAAAAAAGTTGCATTAATTATTGTTTAAAGATTGCATTAAATCATTTAAATTCATGGACATTTTCTATAAATTGATTAGTTTTTTTGTTCATTATTTTAAAATTAATAATTCTAAATATACATTATTATTAATACAATCATGAGAGAATATAATTATGAGTTATAATTAAAAATTATACATTAATTGCAATACAGACTGATAAATATTATTAGATTCTTTTACTTATAATGATGTGATGAATTGTATTAATTTTGATGTAATGAATTAATATTTTAAAAAATGTATGATTAAATTCTTTCTAAATTAATTGTTAATATTTTATAATAATAATATTAATATTATATTATTGTTTATTAATATGCATTTTACATATGAATACATATTTGTATAAACAAATTCTTAAATTAGCATTCCAAGCAAAATAAGAAAAATTTTATACATATACACGCAATATATATATACATATAATATTATAACAAAATTATATGTACATACATTAAAATATAAAATAATAAAACACAGAATAGTTTTATACAAAATATATAAAAAATACAATACATGTTAATGAAAGATAATAGTAACATTTTTTTCAGTTGCATTAGCTATATATTAGGTGTTCAAAACTGTTATCCATAAATCATTGAAAGTTTAAATGTAAATTCAAATGTATATAGCACTTATTATTTAAGTACTTATATTTTTGAATTATTTAAAATTCCAAATTAATTAACAAAAAGAAAAGAAAGAGTTTTATATATAACAAAATACAATTCTTTCATTAATATAAAATATTGTGTCTCTTTATAAGTATTAATCATAAACATTTAATGTTATTAATCATAACATTATTTTACATATGATTACAATTACAAATTATTATGATTGTAAAAAATAACATAATGATGCGATAGATTAACGTAAAAATTAATGAAATAAATCGAAGTTTAAAATAATTATGTAATTCGTAAATTTTTATTGCAAAAATAATTAAAATAAATTAAGTACATCAAGGATTGTATATTATACATATCAAGAAATAGATTTTTATAAATCAGTGTAACCCTTTTCTTAAGAGTTTCTTTTTATATTATAAATTATATATTTTTAAGTTATATCTATATCTATAATATAGATCATAATGCATTTATGATGCATGATATTCTTATTTCAGATATCCGATTAGTTTACATGATAATAATATACATGATCATAATAATACATCTTTCAAATTGTCCCAAAATAAGATTTCAGAGACTTCTTTCATCCCATATCCTTTATGTACTTCTTAATCATTTTTAAATAATTCAATGAATTTTCTTTCTCTTCATTGCCCTCTCCAAAAAGCATAGATATGAATCATTAATCATTTTTTTTGATTGATGTTCAATTTAATATAAAATTACTTAATATAATACTTAATTTCTTAATTGACAATTCAAAAAGAAAAACTGAAATTTCTAATATTTGTATCAAATTCTAAGAGTCAATCTTTTTGAGATCTTTGCATTTTTAAATATTTAAAGGTGCTTATCCTTAAAGTAGATTTAGTTATAGATGGAGAAAATTCTCAGATTGATTTATTAATAGTATCTTTAAATATTTCCGTTGAACTCTTCCTAATTTTAGGGGTTGAATGAGATGCCTCTGGAGAACTGGGAACATTTGAAAGTTAATATAGAAATGATTCTATTTGCAGATATCTGAAATTTCTGTAGAGTATATGCTAGTTAAAGCAAAGAATATAAAACTGAAAAAATGCAAATTAAATTTTTTTTTTTGGTTGTTATAGAATAACATTTTTTCATTTTTTTAAAACATTTAATTTATTTTCTTTATTCTTAAGAAATGTATGTAAATATTATTAAAAAAATTCTAATAAATAGGAATTTATTAATAATAGAAATAAATTATTTTTACTACATTTTTGGATATATTTTCCTTTTTTTTGTCTTCATTTTATACGAGATTATTCACGATATTCTCTTATGCGCATGCGTTCATTGACGTTTACAAGTATTATAGAAGTAAGGGGTTATATTCTATTTCACTTAAAACCTTTAGACTATAACATTTAAATATTTTTATATTCAAAAAAATTAATAATACATACTTTTTATCTCATATTTGTTTTTTTCGATAATTGTAATATAATGTACAAGCTATATTAAAATACAAAATACAAAAGTATTACATTGAACTATATATCGTAAAGATCATTTTATACGATTTAATGCTATTTTTCATTAATAAAAATTACTATACTTTACTTTATAATCATTTTTAAGATCAAGTTAAAATTATTTAAAAATCGTAGATTAATAATAGTTTTTATAATTAACTTTTACTATAATTCAAACCAACTAAGATGTTATAAAATAGCAACATAAATAGCAATTAACATATATTATTAAAATCAAAATAATAAAAATCAAATTAATTTTTTATTTTATTTATTAATATCTATAAATCAATAAAATTTTAACATCTGTATGAAAAATTTGAATAGATAAAAATATTTTTGATTTGAACTATAACAAAGAATAATGCAATAGGAGACAAAAATGATAATGCATATTAAAACAAGAAAGAGAAAGGAAAATGGATACCACGGATACCTGGAGGAAAACCTTATATCATAATGGAATTTCAGGTTCGTGACTCCTGCACTTATTGAGGGTTAGGTTGACGTTTCACGAAAGTATCGATGCGCAGAGATTTTATGTTATATCCAACAAAATGTTATTAATATAATTACAATAAATACGGAAATTCTAAAGCTAGCACATGATTTTCGTAATCACAAAATGATAGGAATTCGAAAAAGAACGTAAATACGTCCACAAGTAACACAAGGAAACGAATAGCGGAAAGCGTGGTCGAAACACCCAATGCGATTAGTCGAATAGCCTCTTCATACATATAGACATGCGCATGTGCAGTTGAAAATCATAGGTACGTACCTATACTAAAAACGAAATGTAGATTTAAGCACCCTTATATTAACAATTTTCGTAATTTTTGATATAATTCCATTCATAAAATATATTGTTTTTAAAATATATAATTTTTAAAAAAGTTACATATGTATTTATATGTAATATTACTTTTAATATTATATCGTTTCTATTATCTATTATAATGATTGAGTTATTTTTATAAAGTTCAACGTAATTTAAAGTATAGATGCCGATGACCTCGTGACCATTCTTATTTCTTTTAAATTAATATCTTGTCTTTTATTATTGAACATATTTTAATGACACATTATTTTATTTAATTAATTTCTTTCTTTTATTCTTAGATATCACAATAATTATATTGAAATATTCATTTATCTCTTATATTATAAATTCTAATCTTGAAACTTTCAAATTTATGCAACAGTTTGCTACAGTACATTCATTATTTACATTATAATTAACTAAAAATTAAGAAAAATTTATTATTATTTTACAGTTTAATACGAAAGATTTGATTTGATATATATATATATATATAAAATATTATATTTTCACAATCTATTTTAATAATAAATATTAATATGTATTTATATAATAATTTACAATATTATTATATGTATAACATAATATGTAATTCTATAATTTCTACAAGAAAAAAGTAATCAATACATAGTCGTATAACATCTGAAACGAACCGTTTAAACGCGGGAAGAATAAACCTTTTTGCACGAAGTTTGGCATGACAAGTACTACATTGCTTCAATAGTTCAGAGACACTTTAAGGTGACCGTCCTCTCGATGAGCGCCTTTAATAAATACGTTCCTGCTAGCCGCACTACTTTTCTACGGTATCCCCACCAATATCATGTGTACGGGTTGGTAAATTGTGATTGGTCGAACCAATGATTGGTAATAGTGGAGGGGAGCAATCACGTCACGAAGTGAGGCCGAGAAGCGACGAGGCGCATGTATCAATGCGCAATCGCATCGGAACAGTTCAGGGAGTCGGGGAGGTCCGTGGTAAGGAATAAACAGAGTGAAGAGACCGCGCGAGAGACGAAGAGTGGGGAAGGAGAAAGAGAGAGAAAGATAGAGAACGAACAGGCAGTGAGACGATCACGATGCACGGAGGCGAGCACAAGCGGCCAGGGGCACAGGGCTGAGGGCTGAGGGCTCGACAGGGCCTGGAATAACGTTCACGGGACGGCCGTGGGCCAGTCAGCAGCTATGGAACAAACGAAAACTCCCGCGTCCCGATTACTCAGCACGAGTTGTATAGAGAATAAGGACGACTTAGAAGAGGTAACATAAATATTTCAAATAGTCACTGGATACGTATCGGGTGCTAGGGGTTCCGCCATTGTTGCGACGGTCGCGCACGTCGCTGACCGCGCGGCGCCACACGTCGAACCACGCGTCTTAGCGGCAATATTCGAATCATTTGCATAATTCTGAAATTAATTTTAGAATTATTTCTAATATTTATTAATAGTTAACACTTATTAAAATCTAACAAAAATGCAATAATAATACATATAATCATATATAAATTTGCTAATAAAATATATTTATTAATGATACCAATGTGTTTGTGATTTCATAATTTGTAATACAAAATAGGTTATAATTTTATGGTTTTTTCAAATTTGTTTTATATCCATTTATAAAACTATTTTTTTTTTCAGAAATTTGAAAAATGTTATACGGTGCTCCAAAATTTGACTGCAGGATTATCTGAAAAGGAAGCCCATGATACATTAAATAATGCTGTGTGTAAGGATAAGACACACGAAGAAGTTTCATTGGGGTTGTTAGTAGTTATCTTGACAGATCCTCAAAGTGCAGCCAAAAGTTATAGAGACTTAACATTAATTACAAGAGATGGTCTTGCAATTGTGTTAGTACATCTTAATCAATTAGTACTTGAAAGATATTTACGATTGAATGATGTGACCAGAAATCAATTATTATGGTTATTAAGAGAGATGATAAGAACCAGTGTAGCTAGTGTGGATAATCTTTGTTTAAGTTTATTAAGGCATGCAGCTGGTGGTGATATTTCACCACGAAATTTGTTCTTAGTTGATGCGCTTTTAGACATTTTTCAAGAAAATCGACCTTGGTTAGATAAATTTCCATTTTTAGTAGCATCCATTGTTTATACCTATTTACGATTAATAGAAGATCATAATGCACCTCATTTATCTGGTTTGCGTCAAAAAGAAGTTACCTTCACTGTATCTTTAATAAGGGAACGTATGGTTGATTGTTTGGTTATTGGAAGGTAATGATTAAAGATTTTTTTATTGATATTTATAAAATATAAATAAATAAAAAATTAATATTTTTAGGGATTTGGTGCGCCTATTACAAAATGTGGCACGAATACCTGAATTTGAAGCACTTTGGAAAGATATGCTTCTTAATCCAAAATCTCTTTGTCCAAATTTCAATGGTGTCCTTCAACTTTTACAAACTAGGACTTCTAGAAGGTTTCTACAATCTAGACTTACACCAGATATGGAAAGAAAATTAGTATTTTTAACCAGTCAAGTGCGTTTCGGTAATCATAAACGATATCAAGATTGGTTTCAACGGCAGTACCTGGCTACACCAGAATCACAGTCTTTGAGATGTGATCTTATACGATTTATTGTTGGTGTTATCCATCCAACAAATGAGTTGTTGTGTTCAGATATTATACCTCGATGGGCAGTAATAGGATGGTTATTTACGACTTGTACATCAACTGTAGCTGCAAGTAATGCTAAATTAGCTTTATTTTATGATTGGTTATTTTTTGAACCTGAGAAGGATAATATTATGAACATTGAACCTGCAATTCTTGTCATGCACAATTCTATGAGATCCCATCCACCAGTCACTGCCACATTATTAGACTTTTTATGCAGGGTAAGTAATTATATGTGACTTTAACAACTTACAGTTTTAAAATTACTGAAATACAATTTTTGTTTACAGATAATACCTAATTTTTATCCACCTTTGACAGAGAAAGTGAGAAATGGAATCTTTTCATCTCTAAGACAAATTTTAGAGAAACGAGTTTTGCCGAGTCTTTATCCATTATTCGACAGTCCTAAGTTAGATCGTGAATTGAGGAGTAAAATAAGAGAAACGTTCAAAGAATTTTGTTTACCACCTAATGCAGATCCTGGTAAAATTAACACAGAATATCGCATGTCTATTTTACCCATTCATTCACACCCACTCAAAATTGGAGCACTAAAAATAGCTTATTATTGCACATTATATTAAAATTTTTTTTCATATTGTATATATATTTAAAATTTAAAAAATTTATTTAATATTATTTAAAATATACATATAAATATTAATAATATGTAATATAAATATATTTATATGTATATATATTAAATAGATATAAATAGAAAGTATTTATATTTATTAATTTTGAGTTTAAATATTATTTTAACAAATCATATATCACAATAATATGTGTATATATTCCTTTCTAAATATAATTTAAAACTTTTGATTTTTTTTAACATATTTTATTATTCACTTTTCAAGCTTATAGCACATTTATTGCTTACTAACTTTGGTTTTTGCATGATCTTTTAAGCAGGAAATAAGGTTCCTGTCTATTCAGGTAAAATGGAGGAACTTAATAAGGATCTTCCACCAGGAGCTACACTAGAAAATACAGTAAATACACCAGTTGAAAATAATCATATAAATCAAGATCCTGAACCAGCTTTTAGTGATGAAGAAGAAGAAATGCCATTGAGGTTAGCCTTACTTTTTTAATTTTTAAAGTATTTTAATTATATTTCAGTCATATTAAATATATAATAATATCATAAATGATATATAATATTATAGGATAGTGAATAAAGTTGAAGAAGAAGATGAAGAAGATGTTCCATTAGCTAATGTGAAATTGAAAAATGAACAAAAAAATGCAAATTGTGTTGTGAAGAAAGAAGATATTACATCTCAATTAAATTTAATTTTAGAGCCAGAGGAGTTAAGGACTGCTATTGAAAGTTTGCATAGTGAAACAGACAATGAAGTGAGGTGTCAAACAATGGAAAGGATAGTACAAATGGTTGTAGAAGATGAAATAGATGCAGAAACTATACCAGCATTGGCTTCTTGCATATCAACTATTTTATCTTCACAAATTACATCTCAAATATTTCCATCAGATAATTTAAATGAAGAAGCCTTGACTGATAGTATAAGCACACCGTTATTTGTTATGTTTCGAAATCAGTTTCAATTGTGTAAAGAAGAAGACAATAGACGGAAACTTTTAGCCCGAGTACTTGCAGAGATGCAGAACATTCAACCAAGGATAGGTTACTTGTTACTTTATTTTTTGAAAGTTTGGGGCAGAGGAGAAGAAAAACGGGAAGGCGAACAAAGGTTTGTAGAAATGAAAATTATGTAAATAATAATTAAAAGTATGTTTTTTATCCTAATAATTATTTGTTATAGTAATGTATTAAATGATGTTAAAGCATCAGTATATAAAGATTTTTGTGCTCATAGAGAGAAAAAGTTAGATGCGTGTTTAGTATCAGATTTGAAGGTATGTAAATAATTATTATATTTAAAAAATTGATCAAAATTTAAATTTTTATTTGTATTATTTAATCATACATTTAATTATATTTAATGCATAATTTTTTTTACAGCTCTGTCACGAAGACAACATATTTATGCTATGTTACCTTGTGCCTGATGTATACATGGGTTTTCAAAATGTAACTCTTGGAAATATTCAATTATTGCATTTAGTCGTTTCGACTGTTGATGCATGCCAATTACAAGAATTAGTTTGTCAAATAATGCAAGGACATTTGAAAATGTTAAAAAAGGAATCATTTACATCACTTTTGACAGCAAGTTTAAATTGGGAAACCTTTGAACAATATTGTTTCTGGCAACTTATTTTTGCCCATGATTTTCCAATTGAATATGTATTGCCTGTTTTACCCAAATTACAATTTCGAGATCACGCAGAGGCACTAACATCAATATTGTTTATGCTTAAACAAGAAAAGTAATCAATACTTACATTACTTATTTAAGAAATTAGACAATTAAAATTTAATCTTAATATTAACAATATTTAATAGGCCAACGTTAGAACTTCTGCGACAATTGCTTGCACGACAAAACGTGGATGGGGATATGTTTGTCGTAGCAGCATTACGTTACTGGTGTCGTGATTATGAGGAAAAACTCGGAGAATTACTCGCGAATCTTCTGAGTACTCGTTATCCTGCTACGAGTCCAAATAAACGGAAACGATCTGGCGCTAAGCATAATCAACAGCCTGGTCCACCCACTGGTGAACAAGTTCTTGGTCATTTAGATCAATTACGACAACATTGTATGTCTTCTGCTGAATTGCAGCTTTATCATTCCGAAGGAATGCAAAGAGCTTTGCAACAAGCACAAGCAGCTAGTAGTGATTCTTTAAGAAAGAGTTATGGAGATTTATTCGCTCTCGCAGAAGTTAATGAAGAGAATGAACCTCCTCCACCTCCACCAACAAGCTCAGCACGAAAACATACAGCAGCAGCAGGTGGAGGTGGTGGAGGTGCTGGTGGTAAAGGAGGTCATAGGAAAACTGGTGCTAATACGAGGGAGAGATCTAGTTCAAAAAGGCCACTTCCTCGGTATCATTTGGATAGTACATCTAGCAGTGAGGTAAATTTAAAAATAATGTAAAAATAATTTAAATTTATTATATTTTTTATATTTTTTTCTCTTTAATTTTATTTAAATTATTATATTTTTTATTGACGAAATTTAATTGCGATAGGAAGAAGAAATTGTGAATGTAAAACAAGCAAAGAAAAGAAAAAAAATTAATCCAGTGGGCTCCGATAGCGACTGACCACCCAGTGTCTTCAAATGTCACATGGACCACGTTATGTGTGTGCAGCAAGCTAAACTAGCCTTAAGAATAGTAAGATAATATAGTATACGTAATAGATCTAGCGCGACTTGTACATATAGTATATGTCAACAGTGAATGCGAAATAATGTTGATCTTATATTTCGCAAACACTATGTAACAAGTGTTGCCAGATTCTGTAATTTCATTAATTTCATTATTTGTATCAAACACATTCTAATGAAAGATATATTTACTAGAATGTATTGTGATATTTAATGAGAAGAAAATTTATAAATACTGGTTATAGCTTTTCTAGGTAAATACATATGACAGATTAACTTGTCATGACAGATTGATATTCTGGATTCTGTTTTGAGTAAGAAAAATTTTATCATGTATCTGTCAGATAAAGTTACCGAGAGGCACAAAACTAGTCATAAATTAAATTATTTCGATATACTCTTAAATTCAGAAAAATATGAATTTAAGAATTGAAAATTGAATCTGGCAATATCATTGCTAGAAATAAAATGATACAAAATATCTTTTTTTGTAATCACTTTATTTCTAAAGAAAGAAAGAAATGAAGATCTGTCATCCATATCCAATTTTGTGGTTGGCATCAAAAAATGCGGGCACAATTGTGCTTAGTGTTATTAATAATTTGTTTATTAATTTTGCGATTAGTATAATTGACCCTATTGTCCAAATTTATTTCTTTTCCTTCTTCATTATATGATATATTATAAGACTCGCGTCTCACAAAGTAGTTAACAAAGAAAAAATGGTTACTTTTGTTGCCATAAATTGTGAACGCAATTTATATAAATCGTTGATAGCTTTTTATTTAGGATTAAGAACCTTCTGCAGGAGGATAAGGATGTATTAAGAATTCCTCGTTCCAGCACGAAGCGTACAGTTTTACGACCAAATGTATTTTACGTCTGCGCTTAGTAAGCATAATCATTCTCAAGACGCAACAATTTTTATATTTTACACGATGCAAGGTTGTCTATTCTTTTAATTTTGTTTCTAAAGCAATGACTAATGAACAATCTTTTTACGTTCTATTCAAATATTCGAATTTAATTAATTAACCAAAAGAAAAAAAAAAAGGAAAAATACAAGAAAAATGTATTTTTTTCATCGTAATATTTATAATGACTGAATAATTTAGAAGGACTGTATGTTCTTAATAATATGCAATGTTTATTCTTTATAAATCTGTCCTTCAGTATTTTTATAGAATAAATTTACTACTTTATATTAGATATGATTGGTATTCCATTGTTCCAGAAATGGATATTATTTAAATAGTAAAATAAAGGAACATCTTCCATCGTGTATAAAACGAAGCGTCATGTACACTTAAGTCTTAGAAGAACATAAGCGTGAAATATCACCGTTCACCTCTGTACATTTCCTGTAAAATCGGTTACTTGTATAAGTAACTGTGTTATGTATTTTCTAATTGTACATACCAGAGAGAACGGAATTTGTATGTTATGTATGCATGAGCATATAAGTATGTACGAGAATTTTTCAAAATTCTAATTTTTTTTTCATGAGGAGTGTTTGTATTTCCGATTTTATCGAAAAAGATTCATAATTCATTACGAGCAGAAAGAAAAATAAGACGAATATATCAGCCAGTACGAATGTTTTTTTAGTTACGCGTACATTGTACGTACTAGCCATTTTTAATGGTGTATAAGGTGTGATAGTTGATATTGTTATTAGGTTTTTTCTACTTGTATATAAACTGTGACGTTATATGAGAAAATATTTAAAATTGATGACTGAATGAATGCGAAAGAAAGAATATATGAATAGTATGAAAGGATAAAAAATAGTACGAGAGGGAGAGAAAGAGAGGCAAACACAGACACATAAGTAAAAACAAAAAAAAAAAAATTAAAAAATAAGAAAAATCGCAAAATTAACAATGCGCGGGGCAATACGGAAAATAAATATGTAAACATTTAATGTTTTTAACGATCTTGTACACACGGATACACATGTAAATATATGAATATATTATCGTAACGCGAGCATAAACATTTAATGTTTTTAACGATCTTGTACACACAGATACACGTAAATGTAAATACATCGAAAAATTACCGGAAGTAAACCTGTGATTCCTATCGTTTGTTTCCTCTTTCTCTAGATTCTTCCCTCCCCTCTTTTAATTTTCTTCAGCGAGAATAATCGGTTTTGAAGATTGTCATAGTATTGTTCTTTTTATAGTTATGTGTATACATAATGCGAACAATATGAAATAACTATAAAACAACGTAATTACGCGCAAATTATATAACGAACAAATGAATGTTAAAAGTTTTAAACACTTGTTTGTAATATATGTACAATTTTTTACCGAAATAGTGACAAATTAAAGAAGAATAATAAAAAATCCTGTAAAGTTAAATCCTGCTACATCACGTAATATCCGTAAATTGTACATTAAGCGCATTTGATTAAAATTGCACAATTGATAGTAAAACATTTATATTACTATTCTCCACGTAACTACTAAATTAAACCCATATCAACTTATTAAAGCTAATAGTAAATTAGTATTGGTTAAAATGCAATGGCATTACAAATAGTATTAATGGAAACACCTATAATTCGATGAAATATGTTTCTTCTATTATTTGCCATTTATTAATTACATATTATTTTGTCCAATTTGGTATGTAACACATGTAACGCAATTTTACTTTTCTGACATATTGAAGAGCTGTAGAATTATACACAGTGTGAATTTTCCTGACGAAAATGAATTTATTTCATTTTTCAGATTTTTTTGTTATCTCACACTCAGAAGGTAAAGAGAAATTGTCTTGACGCGAAACAATAAATAAAAATATAATACGTATTCAATTTTCATATATTATTACAGCTAGAGAGGAAAAATGGAATAGATCTTTATTTTTCCAAAAACATTTCTTAAGATGCGTCATTTTTACTTGATATTTTTGCGCTATACATGTACATATACGTCCATTTGAATTGTTACATTCCTCATTCGCATGTCTCTTTCACATGTGGTTCGTGTATGTGCTCTGTATGTGTAGCATGATTACAAAATCATCATTCATCGTTATATTGCAGGTAAGATAGAAATCACATAATTATTTACTATCCATTACGTATACATACGTGCACACGTACATGTTTTACAACGAAAACATTGTTATATGGAAAGAGTGTATAAAAAGCGCCAAACATCAACTTAATTTTATGAACATACAATTGAGAAATAACGAATCTTATAACTGGTTACTAGTAATTTATAATATACACCTGTCCTGTATTTGGTCAAGAATTTTAATCAAAAAAATATCAAAATAAATCAACAAGCTTTATTTAGATGGTTTTTCAAGCTATATTTACATATCTATCGCATAATGGTCACAATCATAAGATTTATCTGTACATTTTTTACTTGTCTCTGTTACTTTTTTTTATCGTTAATTAAACATTTAGCAAAAGATTTTATATCAGCACATAGTTAAAGACTCAGTTAAATTGTTCACGAATAAAAAATGACATATTATTTGAATAAATATTTTTCATCAAGGTTATCTATAGATCAGATTTAGATTAGGTTTAAGAGTAATATTATTTATTATCATTTAACATTTTTTATAATTTCTTTTTAATATCATTACTTTTATAGAAACGATTTAAATGTTCCCATTATATTTGTTTTATTGTATGCTAATTTTTATAAGATTCACCAATCAGGACAGATGAAACTTGTTGCCCACTATAAATGTTTATCTCTAAAAATTTACCAATTTAGACCAGAATTTTCCTACAAAACTGATATTTATTCTAACTTAAAGGAATAGTCCCATTTTATTTGTGCATGTGATTGTACTTTACAATTACAAATATATTTGTAAACATATTGAGCATGACATAATTAAATCATATAGTGAACCAAATTTGTTGATAAAGATAAAAAAGATTTTATACAAGAATTCATTTATTATTCATATGCATATAAGCACAATTACGCAAAAGTTTGATTGATACGATTGACAACGGAAATATTGTGCTTATTATACGGAAATAAGCATAAGAGAGGCTATATTCGTAGTACGAAACTAATACAATTTTAATATCATAAAATGCAAATATTCTTTATAAAATTGCCTTTTCAAATGATTTAAAATTATTTAAAATGAATATAATTGAACAATATATTTGAAATTAAATATTAAGAAACACTACAAATATCGTTAATTAATTTTGTGCTAATATATTGAGCAGCATTGTACATTTCGATATTACTATTTTAACATATATTAACACATTTTTCAAACGATAAATATATTTCAAGTGTGTACACTGAAAAGATTGTATATTTTGAAACGTAAGTAGTGTACAGTAAAATAATTCATAATATGATCGAATAATTTGTAGACACAAGAAACCATGAGATTATATTTCAACACACTTGTTAACCAATTCGTCACGTGCTGCGCAACGTACATGCGCATAAATCAGAACACCAAATATTCTTCACAACGGATTAAAATTGATTTATTATATATATTTCATTGAAAATAATTATTTTCAATTATTTTCAATCAATGAATCATCAAATGCGAATTTTAAAAAATTTTTAAAATTTAAAAAAATTTCATATTTGATAATTTATCAATATTAAAATATTATATTTAAAGCATTAAAATACAAAAAAATAAAATCGAATATATTTTAGTGAGATACTTATACTGATAAGATTAAAATGATTGATCTCTCATATTATATGATACTTTTATATTAATATATATCTTTTTCTTAATGTATCGTAATGTAACGTATTCTAATTAACCGAAAAATCTATAAATTAATATTATAACACGTTTCTTATGCTTATAAATCATTCATTTGTACACTTCGTTAATTTTGATCAGATTGCAATTAAGCAACTACTTATCCAAGTATTTGCTGGAAAAGATTATTTATGAAATTTTGTTTTAATACAAAAGGCAATTATTTTTCATTGATATATTTAAAATTAATTAATGATCATGGCATATAGACAATACACAACACTGCTCCTATGGTACAAGTCACGCTTTTTTTTCTGTCTTCAAGTAGAAATGATTCCCTCATCGTATTTATTTTTAAATAAACTTCTGCATAAACTTTCCGTGAATTTTTTGCATGTTATTTTAATAACATCTGAACGGTCGAATTTTTTCGCAATTAATTCCAAATGAACGAAATGAACAATTTATACGAAATAAATAATTCGATATGCATTCATCTTTCATTGCATTTCGGTTTGTTGTTATTGATATCAACATATCGCTATCAGCATAAAATATTATATCGACAACATTAATCGACAGAAGACTATAGTTGCTTCTGATCTATAATGAAACGCATTGTTAAAGATAGCTACAGCCAGCAATTTTCTCGAAACATTTCCAAATATAGAGCAATAATATGCTTCGATATCATGGTTGTAGTTATACTAAGGGTCAATTTTGCAAAAATTGTAAAAGTTTCGAAGAAAATTAGCGTAAGTGAGAGCAAGTGTAATTTTTCGTTAGACAGATTTCCAATGTTTGTTTTCATGCTATCTGTCGTATAATGTTTTGGGCGTGTTGATTTTATAATTAGGTACTTACATATACGAAATCGTATCTAGCATCACCATTTGCAAGGCTTTGATCACTTAACGCGCATGCAAAATTGTTTGGTAACGTACCATTAACACATTCTCGTTGTATACACGCGACAAAGAAAGTTTCTTCTACGTTAAATCACATGGTCGTAGGTACAATTGGGCCACGCACACGCAACTTCTAAATATACATATACAGATTTTTCTCTGGCACACACATTGGTTTCTTGACCATCATCATAATTAGCATCAGTTCTTTTCTTTTTTTTCTTCGTTTGTCCGTTTGCATTATTTCTTTCGAACGCAATTTCTACCGTTAATATACTTGTTATGTATATATACACAATATAGTAACAGTCTAAGTTCCTAAGGCTGCTAAAAAGTCTCACTTGTAAGATCTCCCGCGAGAAGGGAGAGCGTGTTAAACAGTTCAGGTTTCGATCAAGGGAGGGAAACGTAAAACGTCTTTACCGTGCGCATCTAGTAAATCACTTCGTATACAGTGGCCTTTTTGTCACCAGATCCGGTCACAATGTACTTGTCGTCAGCAGAAATATCGCAGCTCAACACCGACGAGGACTCCTTTGACTGCAAAAAGAATTAATATGAATTCTTATATGATCATTTGAAATTTTTTGCACAAATATATACATGATACATCTAACGCTATGTATAGAAATAGATTATCTATTGTGACAACGTTTCTTATTCTTCATCTTCGACGAAATAATAAAAAAAAATATGCCTGATATCGATTATCTTCTCTACTTGAAATTTCTAAAAAATATCGAAAATTTATTTTATGTGCAAGATATTATATATTGCTCAAAATTATGATAACTTATATAAGATTAATTTTTTGATTAAAAATGTTAATTTAAAATTTAATTGTATTTTAGATGTATTTTAACTTTTACATAGTTTTAAACTTGTATTTATTATACTTTACTGTCTTTAATCTAGCCATAATAAAACATAATAAAACAAATACGAAAAAAGCAAAGTATTTAAAGTTGCCGTTCTGTTAAGCACTCGACATTAAAAGAGTTTCAATAAATGTTACATGATCTTTATTCCTTAATAGTCTTAAGCAGATAATTAATTATGAATTAACTTTTTTTTTAACAGGAATAAAAAATTGCTTATATATTAATTTTTATCGCTTATGAATTATTTTCTAAATTTAAGAATAAAAAAATGTAAATTGTAAAATATAAATTATACAATTAATTGCTTAATTATATTTATTATTTATAAATCATTATATATTTTTATATAATTAAAAAACAATATTTCAAATATATTTTGAATTATTCTGTAAACGATTCAAAATGTTAATATTCATGATATGAAAAATATCAAAAAGAGATAATAGAAATTCACAAAAAATTAATTTATTTAAGACATAACATCTTGAATTATTTATTCAATATTATTCAATACGATTGATATTATATCCATCTTGAAAAGAAATTGATAGTATCAGACAGTATGCACAAAAGTGTAAAATACTAAAAAAAAAATTTGTATACAATTAATTTTTTAACATTGACTTAATGTTAAAAGATAAGTAATAAAATCCAATAAAAATGATATCAATAAAAATTTGAATATACACCTGAAATATCGAAGCGCCATACGGCGTGCGCCATGCATTTAACAGATTATCCTTGCCCGTGGAGACGAACCATTTGCCGCAAGATGCGAAACGCAATGACAACACGCACGACTCGTGTAGATGCAGTTGATACTTATCGGATTTTGTAGCATGAAGGACCTCGACGTTCGAGTTTTCCATACCAACTGCAAGCCACTCCCCGGTCGGGCAATAACCCAGTGAAAATATTTGCGAGGTAAAGTCGTGTTGCTTCAATTGTCTACCCTCCCTTAGATCCCACGAACGCACTGTGTTATCCAATCCTCCTGTCCACAGTTTTGAACCATCTGCCGAAATATCGATGCAGGAGGCACCGTCCGTGTGACCTTGGAATTGTCTAATCAACGTCTCATTCTGGAGATCCCACACAGCGATATTACCATCGCTACAGCAACTAAAGCAGACCTTCGAGTCCGGCGAAATTGCCAATGCGTAACAGGCTGGTGCTGCAGACGTCAGTTCCGTTTTAATTCGCGGCGTGGGACTAGCCAAGTCCCAGATGATCAGCTGACTAGCCTCCCCTCCAACTATTAAAGTTCTGCAATCTGGCAGTAACTTTACTGACCTGTGTCAGAAAACAATGCTTC